ATAATTGATTGTGAATGTCACAGTAACACTCCTGAAAACAAAATAAAAATACATGATAAATGCATATTCAATTGTTGTAATGTATTCACTCAAGGTCACTTTATTTTTAAAAAGGGTTCCAAATTCTCATGAACTGTACAAAAAGCCAAAAACCTCATGTTTACAGGAATGAAATAAATAAGATAAACATAATTTAACTACATGTATCACAACCATGCCCATTGAGGATCTAGATTAAACAACAAATGTATGGATGGATACAAACTAATGATGCTCAATCTTTTCTTTCCATGTCAAAAATGAGTAGAAAAGTCCTGAAATAATGTCTGCAATAATATATATATCTGAGCATTTTACTTGAAAAATATTGCTAAAACTTTTCTGACAGAACAATGAAGTCATCATAATTGCATAAGAATTTAATATTCATCTTCCTTAAATAATACATGTACTGTATGTAAGGGTAGTAATATATATTAAGCAAAATAAAATACTTGCCAGGAAAACTAAACTTTTAAAATTTGTATTCATTATAAAAACAACATATTGGCTTACTACACTTATATAATTAACAGATCTTGGAGGCCATATTACTAACATCTGGTTCTCAATATTATCAGTATAAATGTCTTCATTCTATCCATGTATTTCAATGTCAAACAAATGTTTTATTTCAGCCTAATTAAACTCCATCATTTGAAATTGCACATGTGAGTTATTCCAAAATTATCTGACACTTTACAGTGATTGATAAGAATCTCAAAATAACCACAAGAAAAAAACAATTTTACGCGGTAGGTGAAATTTATCCAATATCTAGAAAAACATAGTTGAGCTCTGGTGACCTTGCCCTTTGTTATATAATATTATTTCCTTTATCATAGTTTGTTTCAATATGAATATGCATTGTCATAATTAATTTTTAATACAAACAAGTTTTGGGGTTGAAACAACAGTGGGAAAGCAATTTACTGAATGTCCTTGATTGATGTAAAAAACATTGGTGCCTAATTTGTTTAATTATTTTAAGGGACATAATTTCCAGCTTTATTAAGTAATTCAGAATTTGTAGTATAAAAACAAATGCCTCATCTCATTTAGACGTGAATAGATTCATAAAACATGCGAGAAAACAGAAAATCTTAGCTGGCTTTTGTGTGTCTGTGAAAAATTAACGATTCACTGAGACAAATATGAACTGTCTTATTATATTCATTGTGTGACTACTGTACTAGTAGAAAAGTAAAAAAAACGCCCTCTATGAATAGCTGTCATGTTGCAAGCTCTGCATTGTATGCAAATCAACTTAAATAGTTAAATTTGTGTCCAGTGGAGGGAGAAGTCAACAGTACTTTTGCCTCCTGAGAATCTACATCTTCAAACACTGCAATCTTTGTTTTTGAAGTGCGTTTTTAAATTAGTATTATAAAAGCTCTATCATTCTGTTCTAATAGCTGAAACAAATTCCTGTGAATTTTGATTTTCATTTGTCGAATGAACTGTTTGTCAAATACAGAATAATTTAAAATTTGGATGCAACGTTTTGCTTATTATGTATTTTTTATGTATTATTTTTGATTTGATAGTTTTGGACTACACAGATTTTCTATTAGCTTCAGATCTTGATCAAAAGTTTGGCACCCAGTTCATAGGAGTGCTTATATTGATTTTTTGTACCGATTTTATTGGTAGGTTTGCAAATGTGTATCAGACTGTGCAAAAACTCTCCCCCAGTCTAGTATTTCCATGGGATTGGGAGATACATTACCAATGAAAGTATTACAAGATAAATGATTTGCTTCATTGTACACATACAACAATGCTTATTTCCACTGAGATCAGTGACCTTTGAATGTGCATCACCAGTGATCAGTCAAGTAGAAACAGTCAAAGTATTTTATCAGATTTTCTTAATTTTTGCATGATATTTTCATACAGAACATCTCTCGTTCATACTAAGGGAAGACTTTATACTGATGAATAAGTTGACCAAGTTTGATAAAGCTTGGAATAAAATTAGTAAAGTTATTGTGCACACAATAACAATCATTAACGACGACAACGACTGACAGAAATTTATCCCTTAATATACCTTTCCCTTCCATCTTTGATGATACGGGCAAGGTAATGATACATATAACATGAATCACATTCAAACTTAGACAAGATCCCAAACTGGTTAATATTCAAGTAAGAAAGAATAGTAACCACAAGAAAAACAATAACAACAACAAGGACTTTTTCCCCCCTCATATACCTTGACCTTTCATCTATGATGATACGGATAAGGTGAGTAAAGAGTTGAAAAAAAAAAACTTACTGTATGGATACGTCTCCTGATAAAAAAAATAAATAAAACAATTATATATATATAGTTTAGACAAGGTCACAAATATGTTACAGTTTTCTACACAACTCTCACAACTATAGCGTTTCAGAAACTTTTCACAATACCACATACTATGAATTCAATTTTGGTTGTAACTTACCACAATCAGGTCGATTGCCTCTTTGACGTGTATTATCAATTTCCATTCCAGCTTGATCAACGCACCAGCAGTATCCAGTGCTTCCATGGCACTGAACTGGATTGTAGCTACCATCTGTTAGACAATCTGGTACAAAACTACCAAGCATGTTTGTTGGTCTGCATTGGTTCTCTAATTCACACTTGGTTACAGCTGAAAGATTTTTCAAACAAAATGACCACAATTTTAATCATTTTAATTTGGATCAAATTCAGTTTGGTTACATTAGCACCCATGAATGTAGTTCAGTTGGGTTACATTAGCACCCACAAATATAGTTCAGTTGGGTTACATTAGCACCCATGAATGTAGTTCAGTTGGGTTACATTAGCACCCACAAATATAGTTCAGTTGGGTTACATTAGCACCCATGAATGTAGTTCAGTTGGGTTACATTAGCAACCATGAATATAATTCAGTTGGGTTACAATAGCACCCACAAATATAGTTCAGTTGGGTTACATTAGCACCCACAAATATAGTTCAGTTGGGTT